CATCGGACCTGTCCGACTCGCAGCGTGATAAGCTATGAACCCTTCTGCGCGATTTTTCCGACGTTTTTAGTCGACACAAATGTGATATTGGCTGTACTAAACTGCTGCGACACCATATTGACACGGGTGACAGCGCGCCAATCCGCCAAAATTATTTTCGGTTGAGTCCCGCCAAAAAGGATCATGTCAAATCGGCTGTAGACGACATGCTAGCTGCGGATATTATATCCCCTTCTACCAGCCCTTGGGGTGCAAAACACGATGGCTCCTAGTGGTTTTGTGTTGATTTTCGTCGGCTAAACAAGATCTCCATAGCTGACGCATATCCGCCCCTTGGATGGATGAATCGCTTGACGCCCTGGCGGGGGTGCGGTTCTTCTCCACATTGGATTTACTGTCAGGGTTCTGGCAGCTCCCTCTGGATGAGGAATCTAAACCTTAAACAGCTTTCCGTACGTCGCACGGCCTATTCCAATTTAACCACTTGCCGATGGGGCTGCACTCAGCGCCGGTGACTTTCCAGCGATTAATGGAATTGGTCCTGGCTGGGTTGCAATGGGATTCTTGTTTGATTTACTTAGACAATATCAACGTCTTTAGTAAAACATTCGACGAACACCTCCAGAGGTTGCGGGCTGTTTTCCTCAAAATGCGGGCTGCTAATTTTAAATTCAAGCCGCAGAAATGTCATTTGCTCCGCGAATCGGTGCGGTATTTGGGCCACATTGTCGGATGATCAGGTATTGCCACAGATCCAGCCAAAATGCAATGTGTCAGCTCCTGGCCGACTCCCACCTCGGTTGGGGAGGTCAGGAGTTTCATTGGATTCGCGTCGTATTACCGACGGTTTGTCGCCGATTTCGCGACAATTGCTAAACCCTTACATGCCTTGACATCAAAGGGGGTCAAGTTTTACTGGGGACAGGAGGAGGTGGCTGCTTTTCGCTCCCTCCAGGACGCCCTAGTAGGGGCTCCGCCATTAAGTTTTCCCGACTTTTCGAAGCCCTTCTTGCTCGATACGGACGCAAGCAACACGGGCATTGGGGGTGTGCTTTCCCAGGTTGTTGGGGGCATAGAGCATGTGGTAGCATACGGCAGTCGGGTTTTGTCTCCGGCGGAGCAGAGGTACTGTGTCACCCGTCGGGAACTATTGGCAATCGTTTACTTCATTCAACAATATCGCCCATATCTGTACGGTCGCCATATCACCGTCTGCACAGATCATGCGACGCTGCAGTATGCTTTGCGGGTTCAACAGCCATCAGGACAATTGTCCCGATGGTTGAAAATTCTCCAAGATTTCGATTTCGAGATTACATATCGTAAGGGCGTTCGCCACACGAACACAGACGCTCTGTCACGTTTGCTGCCCACCTCCGAGTGCGCTTGCCTCCTGGGTTCGGGGCGTTGCAGACATCCAATGTAATCTCTGAGTCGGTTCTTGCGGCCGCCGCTGATGCGCCTTCAATTGCGGGTCCTATTGAGCAAGAAGGGAGGGATTCCTTGATGGGATTGTCTGTTGCGGAGTGGGGGCGCCTCCAAATGGAGGACACCTCCCTCCTCGCGTTGCGCCGTCGCATGGGTGGATCTGGTCGGGGGGGGGAAATGTTGACTCGTGGGGGTTGTTCCAGGGTCTCTTGATGCATTGGGATGGGAGATCCCGACGCCACCGGCTGGTGGTGCCTTCCACACTGAGGTGTAGAGTGGTGTGGGCTGCTCACGAGCGACTCCTGCACCTGGGGACTCACAAAACCCTTGCCATGTTCCAGCTGGATTTTTCTTGGCCGGGCATGGCAAGGGACGTGGATGATCTTGTAGGGTCTTGTATTCAGTGCGTGCAAGGGAATCCACCAGCAAGGGGGTCCAACCCACCATCGCAGTCTATCAAGGTTTTCCGAGTTAACGAACTCGTCGCGCTTGATATTTTGGGCCCATTCCCCGCTACACCTAGGGGAAATAAATACCTATTGACCGGGGTGGAATATTTTACACGATGGCCTATGGCCTGGCCCCTCACCAACCAGTCGGCAGCAGCCATCGCGGAGGCCTTTGTCCAGGGCTACGTCCTCGACAAAGGTACTCCGGAGTGGCTGCTGACCGACCAGGGAAAACATTTCTCGAGTAAACTTCTCCACAAAGTGTGCGAGCTCCTGGGTACGAGAAAAATCCGTACCACCCCATATCATCCGCAAACTGACGGGATGGTGGAGTGTCTGCATCGGACTATCACGTCCATGCTGTCCCAACAGGTGTCTGAATCCCAGACTGACTGGGACCTTCATATTCCGGGGGTTTTGGCGGCCTGCAGAATGGCTCCTCGTGCGGCGACCAGATTTTCGCCCTTCTTCCTAATGTACGGTCGCGAGGCTAACCCGTCTGTCGCGACTCAGCTGCGGATCTCCGTGCCGCATGCTAAATCCAAATTGGCCGACCATGTCAAATTCAACATCGCTAAATTGACAGAGGCGCGGGAGGCGGCCATCCAAAATTCAGACCTCCGCCAGAGGGCGAATGAAAGGCTCAAGCTGGGCCGGGTGCATGTGCTCCAGTGGAAACCGGGTGACAAGGCGTGGTTGCACTGTCCCTAAGTTCCGCTGGCGACCTCGTCCAAGCTGTTGCGGCCGTGGCGGGGGCCCGTGGAAGTAGTGCAGGTCTTGTGGCCACAATGTGTACGTATCCGGTGGGGGAAGCGTCGGTGGTTCGTGCACTCCTCGCGGTTGAAACCGTTTGTTGCGCCCCATGTTCCTACTCCACACACACATGGCCACCGACTTCCGGAGTCCGACTTCGCTGCATTCGTCTGACTTACCACCGACTGTTCCGCCTCCAGGTGCACCAGGATTGACGTGCTCGCGACCACCAACCCCTCCCGGGGGGGTCGGGGGTCGCTAATCGGCGAAGCAAGACACTCTCGCACCCGAACTATTGACACCCACCGCTGGGCCGGCCAGGGCTGCCCCTTATGATGGTCCCGCTGCAAGAACGCGTGCCAAAACGCGCAGACTTTTGTGAGGTCGGCCGCTCGTGCAGCCCTTGCTGGGGTCGCGGGGTGGTGGGTCCTTGAAATTGTATATATGTTGTGTTCTTACGGGATGGGGTATTTATTGGGGGGGGGGGGTGCGTCGGGTTATTTTTTTTTCTCTCTCAGTAGTGTTGTTGTTACTGTTGTTGTTGTTGTTTACGCGAGGCACACACGGGTTTGGGGGGGATGCATCTTTATTGTGAATTTTGTTGCAGCCGGGACGGCTGCGGGCTGTACAGGGGGGGGGGGGGGGGTGATGTAGAGGTGTTACGGGAGGGCGAACAAACACACCAGGGGTGGTTATGCCCGCACGCGGAAGGATGCTTACATCCACGTCCGCACCGTTTAGCCTGGGGGGCTGAAACGGCGCTGTGATCCCCCACGGCCCCACCCCTCGGTGGGGGAGTTGCTATATAAGGCGGTGAGCCGGTGGGCTCGGGGTTCAGTGTTTTAGCTTAAACCAGTGAAGAAGGAAGACCGGCTAGATAGGCCCTGGGACTCCCCTGGATCGCCGTGCTTCTAAGGACCGACCAGGGCAAGCCAGTAGCGTGGCCCTGAGAGCCCAGAGCCGATGTTCTTGTAAGAGCCGGTCTGGGGACTCAGGGTGCCGTAATCCCAGCTTGGCCAGAGCTGGATCAGCTAGCCTCCCCTAGCTCTGTAGTGGAGGACCTGGGAGTAGGCTAGCCGGGATAGAGATCGTGGGATCTCTCTGATAGACGGGTGAAGGGGCCGATACCTCTTCGAGTGTTGTATACCTTGGCCTGTATAGAGTGGAACGGTTAATAAATAAGTGTACCTCCGACTACGTCGTCCAAGTCTCTTTGAACCTACTACATATGTAAAACTTCTTTCGCACGTTGCAAACTATGCTAATCGGAGGTGCGGGTGGAAGGACAACAGGCTAAACAGTTGTAAAGAAATTAGTTTTGTCAATCTAGATGATGATTTAAAAGTCCATAGCTCCCAGTGGTTTCCTAATATTGGAAGGAAGAGCGTTCCAGACGGCCGCAGAAGCGCATCTGAAAGCGCGCGGTGTAGTGACTGCCGTCTTTGTTGGATGGCCAGCCGATAAGCTTGGTTAGCGGACACATTCTTCATCGTCTGTTTAATTAATCATTAAAAGGACGCAGTGGTTAGAACTCAACTGCACTATTAACGGAGAGAACAAATGTAATCATTAACCTATACACGTGGTCTGTGACAATAATATGTACAATAGAAACGCGCTGTCTACAGCTGAACGAGATAGGGGGAGAGACGGGCGGGCTGGGGGTGTCATATAAAAATTGTTTTGAGATATTCAAAATGGGACAAGGTTCATTTCACCAACTCCTACACAGACAAAGATCCCCCGTGTAGCCAAAACATACTGTTGGGCCAAGTGATGTTAGTGAGCACCCTATGAAGGCCGGTAAGGCACACGAATGAGTGGGTGGCCAGCAACCACGCCCGACCGCCTTTGTCTCCCCAGTGGCGATGTTTACACCCCGCACCAGGTATTCGTTTGAGGCCGACTCGACCTATGGGAGGAGGCCCTGGATGGGTACAGATTATCGCTCTCACCAGCGTTCACCGTGAGCGGGAATCGAACTCGGGTGGCAGGGTTCGTTGCGCAACGCGAACCGCTGCACCACCGCTCCCCACTCCGATGCACCGAGGTGGAGAAACATTCTCGGAGCCCCCCTCCCCCCTGCCAAGTTTGAAACGAGCTGCTCGCCACAATTTTACTTTAGTCCAAGACATCAACAACGATGGAGGAGGGCCTTTAACCCGGTGGCAGGCGACCAACTCCGTGGCTTAAAAACAAAATAATCGCATTGTTCACTCTTTCTCCAGAAAGTAAAAACTGACGGGGGTGATGCTTACTCGCATTTATTGTCGTTTCCCCCTGCGTGTGTCAGCTATTTTGTCCCAGTCACGACGCACATGACTCCTCATCAGCCCCGCTTGTGATGAGCGAGCAAAAACGAGCCAACGAAACAAAGTCAGTACGACTCAAGTACGAGGGAGGCTGCCAGGGAGGATGCGTGTGAGCAGCAGCTGTTGCGGAGCGCCGCGGCTTTAAGTTCGCGTGACTCGACACGTGGCTGGCCGGCTCGGTACGGCCGTGTTCCCAGTCGCTGGACCACATTCTTCTCACGGCCCGGGAGCCACCGTTGATCGCGTGAACACGGGGGAGGGAGGGTGGACGTGAGCCGGACTTGCCGCAATGGCTCCATCGCCTCCGCCGCGGCTGGAGCCTCAGGTCCGCCCCACTGGCCGAGCTCGACGGACAGGCGGCCAACAGCCACTGGCGAGGTTGCTGCTGCTGCTGACATCAGCCATCGTTGCGCAGCCTGGCGTCTGCCACCCACAGTGCTTGGACTTCAGGCCACCGTTCAAGCCCCCGCAGCCACTCCGCTTCTGCTCGATTTACAGCAACTTCGGCTGCTGCGATGCCGAACAGGACGCTGCGGTGGAGAGGCGCTACTGGGAGGTGGCCGACTACCTGCAGCCGGACGGCTACCACCACTGCAGTGGCTTTGTTCGAGACATTCTGTGCCAGGTAAATATTCAAGTGGGCGAACCTGTCGCTACTGGATGGGGTTGTTGTTGTCGCACGATTGGGGTTGTTTTCACACGATTAAAACAGTCTCGATAATAACCTCACGTAATTTTTGGATGGTGGAGTTTGACTAATACATGGGGGATAATGAGTTGGCCTGATAATTTTAATCTAAATTGTCTTATGGTTGTTATTGTTTGACTTGCATCACACTGGAATTTTTGCACATAGCGTTGTAATACGGTGGGTTTATTTTCTGGAAGATTTGCTGGTTTATCCAGGATGTTTCTGTTGCGCGTCGTCGCTTTAAGATGTTCTCTGTTCATATTTTGTTTGTTGCGGTTGCACCCGACTCAAGAGCCGCATGGCTCACAGGGCTACACCTAATACATGAAACTTGAAGAGAGATGAGGGACGCGCACAGTGGGCAGCTGAGCTGCAGGAGTGGGCCATAGCCTGTGATTGTTGGAGTCCCTGCTAGCTTTGCTGTTGGTGCTGTTACGTTTTTTTGATGACCTGTACTCGGCAGAAATCTCAAATTCACAAAACAACTGTCACACATTATTGTGATGGTCACAAGTGTACATTTGGTATTTTATTCAAATTTTACCCCTATTCACATCAATCATTTTACATCATGCTCGGACCTAATTGTAAAAACATAACATCATCATTTTCCATGTAGCTCTGCTAATTTGGACATCTGTGAAACGAGCTTCAAAGATCACGAGATTTCTCCAGTCTAAATACATATTCTGACGCTGACTTTAAACAATGCAGTCCGCTAAGACTGTACCCCAGGTCACAAGCCAAACTTATTTTGGAAAATATTTTCCAGAGAGCGGAAAGGAGCGTTTCTGTGTGCTTCCTGGGCCCACAGTGTCCCGGCCTCAGCACTTCTCACAAGCGCTGAAGCTGCCAAAATTGCAAATTTGAAAATTGGTGCAATATCCCGCCAAAGAAAAAATCACGTGAGAGGGTTGCTGTGTTGGTGGATTGTTTGTTGTTTACACTACAAAAAAACCCGTTTTCTAAATATGAATGTTTTATAAATGTCATTCATAGGTAAATAATACTTTTGGTATGGCTGCAGTGAAACGCTGTTTTGTCTGCAATCCTATTATCTGTGACTCCTCTTAACCTATGACCGAAGACAAATACCCCCCTCGTATAGCCTGTAACAGACTGTTGGGGGCAAGTGCTCTTAGCGAGCATTTATGGGAGCCGGCACGGTACACGAGGGGGTGGGTGGCTAGCACCACGCCCAGCCGCCTTTGTCTCCCCAGTGGCGATGTTTACTACACACCGCACCTGGTACTCATTTGAGGCTGAGTCGACCTAGGGGAGGCCCAGGACTGGTTTAAATAATGGTCACTGGTGTTGGCTCTGAGCGGGAATCGAACTCGGATAATCGGGTTCATATCACAGCATAGCACTAACCACTACACTACCGCTCCCCTCCTTACCCGTGACCTCAAACAAATCCACACACATCCTGCTCTCATATTCATTTTGTATACCCGTGATTTGTCTCGGTAGTGCCGACCCTTCATCATATGCACAGTACCCATGTGTATACGTGGATGAGAGGATGACAGTGAAGATACCAACAATATTGAGAATCATCAAACAACTCCCCCCAGTAGTTCTCCCACGTTGTGTCTGCCCTCTAGGCCTTTAGGTCATATTAATCTGGACATTCCAGGATTTCCCTCCACAACACCATCGCGTCTACAGCTCTATCTCCCATACAAAATATACCTCCATAAAATCCACACAGCATACCCAACATTTTGACGCTTACGTTTTCACAGCCAATGTGATTCACAGTTGAATCTCTTTCATTCTTTCTCGATATCACTTTCCCACTTATAATTCCACCTCAATGTTCTCAATCTCCATCTCTCTCGGTAAACTTTGTTTGCAACCAAGTAACCTTTAACACGTAGGCTTTTGCTACCAAAACATGCAAGAAGAGCGCACAAGTGTTGTCACCACATCTACGCCTCTATATAAGGAACAAAACAGGTGGACTTCTCCGAAAAATCTGGCTGTCGCCTGATGAAGCTAGTTGTAATTACTGGCGAAACGTCGTACTCAGATTGTTAATGTTGTGGCTTGGCTCTACAACACACCGGTGTGCTGTAAACGTGACGCATTGTCATGTTCTGTTTACGTGACAAACCTTACTAGTTGGCTGTTTCGGGTGGTGGCAGGTTTAGTGACACATTTATATATCATTGGAACCTCCTTTGCCAGTAGCAAAATACCCTTTTATCTGGCAACAAAACTGACACCTTTTTTACAAGGAGTCATGTTTGCATTGATCACAATACCTGCGGTCGGAATGCAAACAAAAACACAACTCTGATAATGTATGCACTGTCCTTGAAATTGATTGGTCTACACCCGAGACAGCTTTTCTTAGAGCCTAGTCTCACATGGTGTTGGACCAGATGACGCCAAAAGAGGCACAACTCAAAGACAATGCACCATCAGAGTATGAGTGCTCGGGGTAAGCATTTACACAATTGGTTGTAAAAAAAGGTGTCAGTTTTGTGGCCAGATAAAAGGGTAAAAAAACAATTATCACATTTATATATTTACGTGATCTAACCAAAAAACCTCTTATGAACCAAGTAACCATATAAAACTTATTTCAATCCCTTAAACATTGTTTCTCTCAATAACCCTTAAACCCACGCATCTTCATCTTACCCTGTCCTGTTGCTATTTTGATTTCATTTTACCAGTTAAGGTTTACTGAGCTGTGTAGCTCTTTTTCAGAAGCGACCACAAATGATACCTCAACGAAGTGGCTTATCATCATGTGGAAATTGATACCAGCTAAATATTCTAAATGCGTGATGTTGATTCTTAATGTGGAGGGAAGAACCGGATGACCCGGAGAAAAATCCACGCGACCGTGGGGAGAGAGAGACGCAAACTCTAAATATACAGCAGCAGGCGTCAGGGTCGGGATCGAACCCACGACCTCCTGTATACCAGGCGAGGTAGTTAACATCTCACCACCGTGGCGGACCTCTCACCCCAGGCGTGTGCTTTGCATGCCAAACAGGGTTGCATGATGCCCAAAACTCGTCAGACCCAGTAACGTCAACACCGACACCTCACGGCGCCTCCCAACATTTCCCACCGTGTGGCCCCAGCGGAAAGAGAGAGCGAGTTCAAATCTTGGTTGAGGGTTGACTTAGTCCATCATCATCTCTTTGGGGGTCAGTAAAATTTGTACCATTTTGTGGGGTAGTCAATAGTAGTTGTCCTATGGATAAACTCACCCCCCTGCCATACGAATGTGGAATTTCCAACACTGTAAAAAGGGAGATAAGCACCGGCTCAATCCTCATTTGGTCAGGGAATCACTCGAATATAACGACACACGGGGACCTCTACACATACGAATCCACCGACGTTTCGTTTACAGGTGTGCTCGCCATACGCCGCGCACCTGTACGACGCCGAGGACCCATCAACCCCGACGCGCTCCCTGCCGGGCCTGTGCCCCGCCTACTGCAGCCTCTTCCACCACCGCTGTCGCCCGACACTCAGCCTCCTGGCCGCCCAGGCAGACGCCCCTGGGCTGCACGAACTCCTGCAGAGCTCTCCCGGCGACCTGGAAGCTGATCGGCAGCACATCTGCCGCTACTTGTCGCTCAGTGACCCCGACTACTGCTTCCCCAGTGTTGTCACAAACACGCGGTTTTCCAAGGGACTAGGTCGCATCCTTGCTGGCGAGTTTCGCACTCATTTTTCGGATCATCACCAATTTCTCAAATAGCCGGAAAACGATGAACATCACAGAAGGGGAGAGTGGCACTTGGCTCAGCGGTAGAGCGAGCGGCTCCTCAGAATGGGGAGGTTACGAATTAAACTCCTGGTTGGAGGTTGACTTAGCCCATCATCTCTTCGGGGTCATTAAAATGGATACCATTTTGTGGGGTAATCAACGGTTGATTGTCCTATGGATAGATTCGCCCCGCCATATCAATGGTGAATTTCCACCACAGGAGATGAGCACCAATACCTCAATGTTTATTTGAGCAGGAAATCGTGTAGTTTACAATTCCTTTGAACAATAAATTAACTCCAGTTATGACTCTAAAGAGTTGTGTTCTTTTTGATTCTTCAAGACAGGCAAATATTATTTTGTGATCTTCTGCCGTAAACCATGGGGGCAAGGCACACGTTTGGCTGAACCTGTGTCTCTAATTCGGGTGCATCCGGCAAACACCCGAGTGAGGGTTACACTCTGCGGTTTAGTGAGATGATTGATGGGCACCTGATGTAGCCCCCACAGGATGTATCTCCCCCAGGATGTAGCCCCCACAGGATGTAGCCCTTTTGTAGCCCCCCATATGATGTAGCCCTCACATGGTGTAGCCCCCACATGATGCTCAAATGAGGATTGCGTTGCTTGTTGACTCCCTCGCCTGCTGTATATTTGGAGTTTGCGTGGCTCTCTCACCGTGGTTGCATGCCATTATCTCCGGGTCCTCCGGTTTTTCCCTCCATATTTAGAATCAACATCACGCGTTTAGAGTTCTTGGGCTGCGATATATTTCCACGTGACAATACGTTACTTCGTTGAGCTATCATTTGTGATAGCCAGATCACTTCTGAAAAGAGCCGTATAGCTCAGTGGGCCTTACCTGGTGAAACATAAAAAAGGTTGTAATAGTTTGTGATTTTCCCTGATGGAAGACAAAACGAGTTAGATTAATGGAAACTGCCAAAGCATCATCCTCCCCAGGGGGAGACTCAACACCCAGCGAGGCTCTCCACGCAGTCCCCACCCCCACCGTGTTAGGATGACACTCGCGGAGAGCTACGGGCGCCGAGGGACGCTCAGTTTAGCGACAAACGTGCTGCGGGTCGACGCTGGGGAGTCCGGCTCTGGGTGCTCACGTGCGCCGCTCCACACTCCCCCCCCCCGTGCGTGCGCAGGGGCTGATGGCTGTCTCCAGCTGTGCTTGCAGGAGGTGGCCAACGGCCTCCGGAACCCCGTGGCCATGGTGCACGCAGGGGACGGGTCGCACCGCATGTTTGTGGCCGAGCAGGTGAGGAACGTGACGATGACGACGACGATGATGATGACGACGGTGAAGAGATGACGATGATGATGATCATAACGACGATGATGATGCCGATGATGACAACGATGATGACGACGATAATGATGATGATGATAAAGATGATGATGACGGTGATGACGATGATAACGATGACGACGATAACGACGACGATGACAATGATAATGATAACGACAATGGTAATAAAATGATGACGACGATGATAATGATGATGATGATGAATCATAATTTATGGACTCGGCCGCGCAATGAGAAACTTAAATGTATGTTGTAAAAACCTTCCACCACCCGACACAGCCAAACTAATTAAATTGTCGCGTTTAACAATGCACCAATTGTGACTGTTTCGGCTGAGTTGAAGAAAAATGATCTCAACTAAATTTAGCAATCGGACACGATGTTTCGCCTGCAATCATCTTCAGGTTATTCGAACTTCGTGGATTTTGCTCCAACTCCCTGAATCCTGTCCTGAAGATGCTTGGCACAGTTCCAAGCGTAAACGTCCGCGTCTCTTAATTGAGCTGACTCCGTTTGTGAGAATCGCTCTTTGCCTCACCGGTGAGCGAGCCGCTGCGATCGTCGCCGCGTGACGATTTCACCTGCGTGGCCGTGTCGGGTTGGCGGTGGAGGGTCTTACGACGCCGGTTTGTCCGGATCGTTACGTGGCCCTCACTCAAAAAACCACTATTGCATAAAACACAAAATTGGTTGTGTAATATTTACTACCTGTCAATTATGATGTATATTTCAATAATTACAGGATGATGTGGAATAAACAACAGTGTTATTGACAGGAAAATCAGCAACAAATGTAATATCAATTGTAATGTTCATGATGTGTCTGATGTTTAAGAAACGAGCTATATAAAGGTACAAGTGACATTGAAGGTGGTGGTGGTGGTGATGGGGGAGTGGTAGTGTAGCGGTTAGTGCTGCGCTGCGAACCCGGCACCCGAGTTCGATTCCTACTCACGGTCAACACCAGTGACGATTACTGAACCGGTCCTGGACCTCCCCTAGGTCGACTCAGCCTCAAATGAGGTGGCTGGGCATGGTTGCTGGCCACCCACCCCCTCGTGTGCGATGCCGGCCTTCGTAGGTGCTCGCTAAACAGCACTTGCCCCAACAGTCTGTTAAGGCTACACGGGGGATCTTTGTCTTTGTAGGAGTTGGTGAAATTAATTTTGCCCACACGGGAATATAAAGTGAATATAAAATAATGTTTTATATTACACCCCCATGCCGCCCGTCTCTCCCCAACCATCTTATTCAGCTGTAGACAGCGCGTTTCTGTTGTACACATCTGATCGTCACAGACCACGTGTAATGATTACATTTCCTTTCTCTCCACTTTAACAGTGAGGTTGAGTTCCAACGATCTGTGAAGGCTTACATAGGGGTTGGGGGGATGGGGAACTTCGTCTTTGTCTTTGGTGGTGCTCTTAGGTGGGCGTCGTGTGGGTCTACCTGCCCGGCGGGTCCCGCCTGGTGACCCCTTTCCTAAACATCAGCGAAGCCGTGCTCACGTCATCGTGGGAGGGCGACGAGCGTGGGTTCCTGGGTCTCGCCTTCCACCCGGACTACGCGCGCACGGGCAAGGTCTACGTCTACTACTCCGTCTACGTAGATTTCGATGAGAGGATCCGCATCAGCGAGTTCATCCGAAGGCCCGACGATCCTAATCGGCTTGACCACAAGTCTGAACGGTAAGCTTGGCTTGCGAGGAGAGACACAAAGACAGAACTTAATGTAAGTCGTTGTTTATTTATCCACACTGAGTCCAATGACTCTTTTTTTCAGGAGGATCCTGCGAGGATCTTAAGATGTTTTCAGTAAATGTTTGAGTTGTTTACACAAGTCGGGGAGGAAAGGGGAGCAGTCAGAGAAAGGCCACGCCATGCATTAGCACACAGCACTCTATCCCCATACAGACGGAAACAGATGGCGATCAGTCCACTTGCTGCTGTAAACGTCTTCTCCTGGCGAGCAAGGGTACGGGCACCTCCTCAACGCTCACGGGTAGAAGGGAGTTTCACAACGTTTGTGCAGTGATCCACCAACCCTCCTCTCATCCACAGTGCTGGATTACAGGCCACTGGTATAGCCACCAGCACCCAGCCGGCCACGCTGTGTTACGAAGCTACCACGATCCCTCTATTAAATTTCGATATAAAGCTTTCGTGACTGCAGGGATTCATCTTCTTGGTTCTTTCGGTAAAGTCACGTAGAATGGAAATAATAAAATATTATTTCCATTTACCGAAAGAACCAAGAAGATGGGTCCCTCTATTGTAACGGCGAGCAGAGATATTAACACGTAAACGCTATTGTTGAACTCAACTTTATTCGACAAAAACATTCAAACGAAGCGTCAAGTGATGTCTTGCTCCACCATGGCATAAGGCAGAGATAAAATCTCAACCTGAGTGGATTAATTTTATTGAGATGTCTTTAGTAACAAAGAACGTGTCTGAGGAATTAACCCATTTCCGAGATGAAAAGAAGGTAGTTTCTGGCGTTACACTTAACAAGCCAGTTAACCATACATCACATGTTATGACGCTGGTAATGATTATTCAATTGCTGATGACGTTGATGATTCACCTGGTCATCTGATCGATGCCCTGATTGTGTCTGTGCCCCACCTCCTCACCTGCTGGCCAGATTCATCTTGGAGATCACAGAGCCAGCGGCTAATCACAATGGGGGGCAGCTGCTGTTCGGTGAAGATGGCTTCCTCTACATCTTCACCGGCGATGGGGGAATGGCAGGAGACCCCTTCGGCCGCTTTGGAAATGCCCAGAATAAGTAAGAGCATTCTGCCAGTCACTTAAACTAAAACTATAATCTATGTTTTTTTTTACTTTAACAGTTAAGGCCTACTGAGCAGTAAAGATTTTTTCCAGAAGCGACCTAGCCACAAATTATAACTCAACGAAGTGGCTTATCATGTGGATATGGAAAGCAGCCAAATACTCTAAACGCGTGTTTATAAATGTGGAGATAAATACCGGAGAAAAATCCACGTGACCACATGACAACTTCAAATATACAGGTGTCGGGGACGGGAACGAGCCCACTACCTTCTGTATACCAAGTGAGGTAGTTAACATCTTGCCAGCAGTATTGTTGTGTCTACCTGTCATGTATCTTCACCATCATCAATGGTGGTGATCAATCCACTGCTGCTGGATAAAGGCCTCCTCCCCACCTCACTGCCATCCCTCACGCGCTGGGCATTCACAAGCCACCTCATTCCCGCATTTAACAAAAAATAAAAATCACTTCACGTTTGGAGCGCTACGCTTCATCGTCGGTCTTATATTAACGCACTTCAACACGCCGCCACCCCCGCCACCCCACTCCAAGGTCTGCCCTGCTGGGAAAGGTCCTGCGTGTGGACGTGGACGGCAACGACGTGGGGGCACCGTACCGTGTGCCGCCCGAAAACCCTTTCGTGGGGGAGCGTGACGCCAGGCCCGAGGTGTACGCCTACGGCGCCCGCAACATGTGGCGCTGCTCATTCGATCGCGGCGACCGGCTGACGGGCGCGGGCCGCTCACGCCTCTTCTGCGGCGACGTGGGGCAGAACAAGTTTGAGGAGATTGACATCGTGGTGCGGGGTGGCAACTACGGCTGGCGGGCCCGGGAGGGATTCTCATGCTATGACAAGAAGCTCTGCATCAACACCTCGCTCGGTGGGGAGGGGGGCACCGCGGTGCCACGGCAGTCACGTGGGATGGGGAGGGGGAGTTGTGGCTCAGAAGAGCCAGCTTCGTTTTTAAGATTTTGGCCACCCGGATGTTTATTCATTTTGGAGCATGATTTTGATTTCTTGGGTTCAACTCCTTTGCTAAAATCTTAGTGGCAGCGTTCAGTTGTTTTATTCGGAGGTTAGCCATCCACGTTTTATTCTCGGAATGTATAATTGTTACTTGTTTCTGTGCTGAGCATACTTAATTTTTTAAGTAGTCTAGAGTGATAATAAGTTATTTTGATCGTGATTGAGCATCAATACCAGGGAGGCAGAGGCAGCTGGGCATACATCGTGTTGGCCACTAACTTACTGTTATTTTACCAGGTAAAGCCCACTGAACGACATAGATCTATAGCAGCCCAATACTCTAAACGCATTATTCTAATTATGGAGGGAAACACCAGAGGACCTGGAGAAAAATCCACGTGACCCTGGGGAGAGAGACACCGCAAACTCCAAATATACAGCAGGCGTCAGGGTCGGGATCGAACCCACGACTTCTTGTATACCTGGCGAAGTAGTTAACATCTCACCACCGTGGCACCCTACTTCATCGAGTCCTGCCAGCCCCCATCAATCAGGTGGTGATCACCCCCAGCATGTGATCCGACAGTCAATCTCGGTTTAACACGTAGGCTTTCGCGACTAATATCATCCATAAGAGGGTTTTTTTGGGTTAGATCACGTCAATATATAAATGTGTCGTTAAATGCGCCACCACCCAACACATCCAATTAGTAAGGGTTGTCATATGAAGTCCACCTGTTTCGTTCCTTAAAATAGAGGCGTAGATGTGGTGACCGCACTAATGCGCTCTTGCGCAAAGTGGGGGGGAGGGGGATGATTAATGTGTCAACGTACATTATGCATGCGCATTATGCGAGCACATTGATTTTGTCCTTCCTGTCCATTGTGTGTACTAATATCTCGGCTGACAGCCGGGAACATTTCGCGTTGCTGACCGACGATGCATGGCGCACACCTGCGAATGTTTTCCAACTCCCCACCCTGCCGCTGCGATGGAGTGGTGCAGACGACATCCTGCCAATCTTCGCGTATCCACACTCGGTGGGCAAGTCGGTGACGGGGGGTTACGTCTATCGAGGCTGCGAGTCCCCTAACCTCAACGGACTCTACATCTTCGGAGACTTCATGAGTGGGTGAGTGCACACCCACCCGTTGCCGCTTCATCTCAACGACCAGGTGACTCGCCGATTCTTAAATTCAAGGAATGGACCAACTGTTGCTGGTGTAGCCGGTGTGAGCTCACCTGTGGATAATCGCACGTATAATTGCGCACCGCAGTATATGGGACCCGAAGAAAAATGTTGTATTACATTCATAGCTGTCAACCCCTTATCAGCACCTACCCTATTACAGGCCAATTCAGACTTGATTGGTCACCCGTGCCCTGATCAATCTCGAAGTCCATCCGATAAAGTCCCATCACGAGGGAGAAACACAAACAAATAGACCAAAATGTTGCCCGTATTGAAATGGCTGTACGCCATAGGAACCTGAAAACACAATTTCCCTGCACAAGAACACGGGGTAAACCATATGGGCCGACAGGTATGCGATATTAACTATGGATCTACATTGACAGAAACCAGTGTGTGTCCGAGTAAAATCGTTTGAATTGTGGAGTGTCTTTTATTCAAACGCATATCAACAATACATTGCCTTCAACATTTGAGTCTTGCGTGAGTTTTATTAAACCATGTGGTGGGTTGACAGGTATGTACGTTTCATGGCTGTTATAGCTACGGGGCAGCCAGGAGCATTTTTTTTATGTTATTTGAATGCAATGGTGATCGGGGATTGTACCCCGAGCACCATGTGCACAGCAGAGTTTAGATTGGGGCGGATTCCGTGCTGATACGCCACTGCCCTTTCGATAAAGACTTTTTTTAAATGAAGTTTTTGCCATTTCACAAACACCCCCCTGGTGCTTGTGGAATCGCCCAGCTTCTCCTGAGGACAGAACAACAATGCGGAGCCGCATTTACTCAGTCTCCGAACTTTATAAAAAAAATATTGTTGCTGTTGTCTATTTGTAGTGACATCGCGGATGTCACTGTGTAATGCCGGCCCTAGAGAGGTACAGCGCGTGATGTATAGACATAGCGGACACCACGTATATGTGGGTGCAGTACTGGCCCTAGAGGGGCTCGGTGAGCGCTGACTGACAGTGCTGGATGGCACCATGCTCCGCATGCAGTGTCGACCCCTACAGGATAGGGTGTGAGAGTGCTGGCAACAGGAATGGGGTTACTAAGGGCCGTGGCACTCTGGTTGACCCCAGAGGACACGTGACCGGTTAAGTTTACACAGGGCCCCCAAGTGGGGGCTAGGGGTGGTCACGTGTCAGGGTCGAGATCCTGCTCGGAGATTCTAGATGGTCGTGGCTAAGGGCGGGGCCAGCCACGCCACAGAGGGACCGGCTGCTGTTATTCATCCTGAAGAATCTACGTTCTACGTTCTACGTCCTACAGAGTCACCAACACGTGGACCGGGACACAAGCTGGGGTCCGGTCCGTTGTAGCTAGTAACGGTGTAATTAGTATAGTTAGCCTGGTGGTCCGCCACCATACATTGTTATCTTGTTAAGGGGCAGTTACCCCTTGTGTTGGTATTAATAAATGTGTTGCCTCCAAAGAATACATATGCGACTCAGTTGAACTCACTACAACTGGTGTCGGAAGTGGCCAAACATTTACATGAAGCAGACCACGTACCAGGACGACGAGGACGAAGACCTCATCCCTCAAACAGCCCTCGGGATGGCGACCCCGGAGGAGGGAGGTGAGGCACCGTCGGCGGAGCAATGTACCGACCGGACACGCCACAGCTCACCGCCGTCGGGGAGGGAGCACTGGACTGCACACTTCCCGCCTCGCAGAGCTCCTTCGAAGCCGTGGCGTCCATTGTCACGGAGCTCCACCGCGAGGAGCCAGCGGTGGAGGGGAGAGTGATGGAGCTGCACGGGAATGAGGATCCCGCCGCCATTTCCCACCAACCGGGAACCTCCGTGGCGCAGCCCACGCTTACAGCCGCCATTTTGGTAGAGGAGTGGAGCGCGGAGCCCACCAAATCTGAAGCTGCATTGAGGTTGCCTGTGGACGTCCCATCTCTCCAGCGACGACTGCCCTCCATAAAATAATTACAGCTGCCGGAGGCGACTGGGTGGCCTTCAAGTGGCAGTTCCTGACGAATGCCGACTTGGGGTGGTGGACGGAGATGGAGGCTGAGAACGCTGCCCGCTGCACTTGACGACGATACCCTGGTAGCGTTTCTCACCATCCCACTGTTGAAGAGGGCCACGCTGACTCAAGCCTTTGACCAAATGGCTGCGCGGAGGAGGGGGGAGGCCGAGATGCCCTTTGCCTTCCATAGCACACTTTTGGTGCTAGCGAAGGCTGCCTTTCCGAAGATGGGCCATGATGGAGTCGACTCGCTAGTCCTTGAGAGATTGCTGGCTTTGGCTAAGGACCTCAACATCGTCCTGCCGGCTGTCGACAATGACGATCTATCGTCCATCAAGGTTGCGAGCTGCATCCAGGCGCAACAGCTCTTGTAACGGCATAAGGTGTTGGCGTGTACCATGCCTCGTGAGGTGCGCAGTACACCTGAAAACGTGGAGTCCATCCCAGCCTGCGCATCGTCCCAGGGCGGATGCTGGCGAGGAGATGGCATGGTGCAACGGATGGAAGAACAGCGATGGCAGAAGACATCTCCTCTTTTTGGGAGCGGGCTGGTCACGTGCTACAATTGCGGGCTGCCAGGACACGTCTCGTCAGGCTGCCGCGTGCTGCAACGATGCCTCTCCGGACCACCGCCATCATCCGCCCGACCGTCCTCCACTCCACTACACCTGCAGGCGAGTCGCGATGCATCCCACACTCGGCCCCTGAATCCATCTCACCCATCTCGTTCGTTTGGTTTCCATTGCCATCCTGCGTCGGTGCGAGAGGGTTCGGAATTTGATTGGGCCAACCAGCCACTCCGACCGGGTCAGTGGTCGGAGTTGGCGCATAGAGTGATTGCAGTGACCACAGGTTCGTCCGTGGTTATTGGATTGATAGAGGGGGTTGAAATCAGGATGCTAGTACCTTATACCCTGTTGAAGCTCCATGCTTCGCCGCAAATAGGCTGCTCATTGGGCATCATTGGGAGAAAAACATCGGAGGTGTGCATTTCAGATGTCAAATTGATGGGACCGATTCTTGTATCGACGTCCCTTGCTATTCCTTGCCTGCTCGGCACCGATTTTTTGCGGAGGATGCCCTTGAAAATTCGGATCGACCAAGGGTGCCTTGAATTACCATCCGGCCGTCGAATGGCATTTTTGCCTTCTCCCACTCACTTGTGCACAGCCAACGCTACCGTGCAAGCACTTGCACATAGGACAGTTAAGATTCCCCCTGGTGCGCAAATGTTGGTCCCTTTGCGATTGCGGAAGCCGCTAGACCGGGAGGCAATGGCGGGAGGAATCCTCCTGGGACCCTCTGATAAGACTGTTCGTGGGTTTACGTTAGTAGGGGCCCAGACGTTGGTATCCAACAATCAGAAACCCTTCATTCAGGTCCTTAATGCAGGGTCAGAGACGTCGATCATTCAGGAGGGTACCGTGCTTGCTCATTCGTCGCCCACGCTTCGTGAAGGAAGCATCGTTGGCAGTGTGTGGGCCGCGTCAAATATGCGGCCGCACAAGAGTTCTGGTGAAGGGTGGATGAATACGCTTGGTTTGGAAAATGCGGAATTGTCTGAGGTCCAGAGGGGGAAATTGAGGGCACTTTTGCGCGAATTCTTGAATGTTTTTAGCAAAGACAAATTTGACATCAGCTGCACTATGCTTTTGAGTCATCACATCGATACGGGTGACGCCGCTCCCATCCGGCAGAATCCCTCCCGGCTGAGCCCTATAGAAAAAGAACACGTACGGCTGGCGGTTGATGAAATGTTAGCCGCGGATATTATTTCACCGTCCACTAGCCCATGGGGAGCCCCTATTGTCCTTGTTAAAAAGCAGGATAGTAGCTTGCGCTTCTGTGTTGACTTCCATCAGCTTAACAAGATCTCTGGTAGATTCGAAGCTTCCGTGACTGCAGGAATTACTCTTTGGTTCTTTCGGTAATGTCACGTAGAAAATAAAATCAAATAATAATAGAACACGAAGTTTCATTGCAACACAAGCAACCGTCATCAGGTAAGAATGAATGAGAAAAAACAACATAGTAAACTTAGAAACACAATGCAACACAACACAGAGAGCCGGACAACACAATAGCCAACACCCCACCTGGCTGACCACGCTCCTACAAAGAATGACAAAAAGAAAGACAGCGCCACTGTGTCCAGGTTTTAAATAGAGAGGGGGGGGGGGATTGGGGCAGAGGACATTGAGATGCCATCCAGACATCCACCCTACATCCCTCCTTGTGGAAGAGATACATAGGTGACACGTTCGTCATCTGGCCTATATGTCTCTCTCTCTTGTGTCTCTGTGTGTCTCTGTGTGTCTCTCTCTGTTTCTCTCTGTGTGTGTCTCTCTAGGTGTGTCTCTCTGTATGTATCTCCGTGTGTGTGTCTCTGTGTGTGTGTGTCTCTCTGTCTGTATGTGTCTCTATATGTGTCTCTGTGTGTGTGTCTCTGTGTGTGTGTCTCTCTTTGTGCGTGGGTGTGCCTCTCGGTGTGTGTCTCTCCTTCCCTCGATGTGGTGTCGTTTGTTTATCTAACGAGCTGGATGTCTCACGAGCACAGCCTCTGTTACCGTTGGTTCGTTTACATTGACATTCTAATCTCTCATAATACAATGGCCACCCCCTCGGCTCTCGCAGCTCTCGCATCAACCACACCCCCCTTCCCCCCCCATCTCGGTTCCCATATTTAGATTTACACTCGCATAGGCACAATCTCTAGCCCCCAAGTGGGGGCTAGGGGTGGTCACATATAGGGGTCTAGATCCTGCTCACGGATTCTAAAAGGTGGTCGTGGCTAAGGGTGGGGCTAGCCACGCCACAGAGGATATAAGCCGGGTCCCTGAGAAGGACCGGCTGCTGTTGTTCATCCTGAAGAATCTATGTTCTACGTCCAACACGAAGTCACCAACACGTGGACCTGGGCCCAAGCTGGGGTCCGGTCCGTTGTAGTTAGTTACGGTGTAATTAGTGTAGTTAGCCTGGTGGTCCACCACCATAGGTTATCTTTCGATTTAAAGCTTTCGTGACTGCAGGGATTCATCTTCTTGGTTCTTTCGGTAAAGTCACGTAGAATTGAAACAATAAAATAATACAAATAAAACATAATAAAATAATTCTCACGACGTTTCGGCCACAACGCAAGTATCCGTCCTCAGGTGGAGAACAGGTCAGTCGAGGAGACAGAGTCTGAATGACAAGCCCCAGGCTTGGAGCGACTATTTAAGCTGGGATGGAGGGGCGAAGAGCGCCTTGACAAAAGAATTTGCATATCAAGATGAATTTAGCATATTTATGAGAAATGCAGATGTGCGATTAGTACTACTTGTGAAATGCGTAGGAGGTTTGGCGAGGGGTTTAAAGTCATTATGCCCGTGCATTATGCAGGATTAGCAGCATCAAAGGGAGCATTCATAAAGGGGAGTGTTAATAGTATGTAGCTGCAGTAACTAAACCACCACGTAAACAACTAAAGTATAAACAACATAGTATCATCAGTATACTAAATATACTCTACAATAAGCTGAGTAACTAACAGTAAGTAATACATTACAATTCTACGTCACAAAAAATGTAATATGCTACCATCTAAACTTTATTCTCTTACATCACACGAGTCTACACCATACTATATACTGCCATAGACAAACCCAACATTAAATTGTATACTGTATTGCTATAAACCACCCTATATCTTATACATTTTAATATAACACTATGTATTATTCTACCCACCCTAATGTATATCACACTGCTGTATATTCACTATACCATTACAATACTATATATTACTTTGTACATTGTATTAAGCATTACAATTTTATACTATTTATTATTATACAATCCGCTATACAATGTACCATTGACCGTCGTGTGAAAGATACTAAAAGGAAGCAACGAAATATGTCAATGGGAGAGTAGTGATAGGAGACTTGCAGCAGAGCAAGAGAATACAATGCCAGTAAGTGGAACGCGGTCTGAAAGTCACCGTAAACGTGAACACAATCAGTTAAGATCCAAAATGGTTTATTAAGTCATTCCAATGATTGCTGAGCCAGAATCCATCTTCTCGGTTGAAATTGTCTCTGTGTTTGTATATGTGGATCGCCTCATGAACGAATATCTCATGGTAGCCAGATGGCTTGCAGAGAACCTCTGTCTTGGAGAAGTCAATATCATGTGAGCCCACTGAATTGTAACAGTGATCTGCCACGGCTGAGGTGTTTGTCCTACCGTGTTTCAAGTCTGCTTTATGTTCACGGATGCGGTCCGAGACATGTCGTTTGGTTTCTCCAATGTAACTGCTACCACAGAGGAAACTTAGTTTGTATATGCCAGGGTACTGTATTTCTGGAACCACATCTTTTACAGACGGGACCAGATCACGGATTTTATGTACTGTGTTAAATCCGACCTGGATCTTGTGTTTTATCAGGATTTTGGAGATCTTTTTTGTGACCCCAGCAATGTAGGGTAAGGTGATGGTCTTGAATACAGTATATAATTTAATGTTGGGTTTGTCTATGGCAGTATATAGTATGGTGTAGACTCGTGTGATGTAAGAGAATAAAGTTTACATGGTAGCATATTATATTTTTTGCGACATAGAATTGTAATGTATTACTTACTGTTAGTTACTCAGCTTATTGTAGAGTATATTTAGTATACTGATGATACTATGTAGTTTATACTTTAGTTGTTTACGTGGTGGTTTAGTTACTGCAGATACATACTATTAACACTCCTTCCCTTTATGAATGCTACCCCTATCCCCTCCCTTTGATGCTGCTAATCCTGCATAATGCATGTGCATAATGACTTTAAACCCCTCGCCAAACCTCCTACGCATTTCACAAGTAGTACTAATCGCATATCTGCATTTCCCATAAATGTGCTAAATTCCTCTTGACCGAGAAGATAGATTCTGGCTCAGCAATCATTGGAAGGACGTAATAAACCATTTCGGATCTTAACTGATTGTGTTCACGTTTACGGTGACTTTCAAACCGCGTTCCACTCATTGGCATTGACTATATATCTTGTATTCTCCGCAGGGAATGGATTCTTTGCTCCGCTGTAAGTCTCCTCCAACTACTCTCCCATTTACATATTTCGTTGCTTCCTCTTAGTATCTTTCACACGACAGTCAATGGTACAGTGTATAATAATAAATAGTATAACATTGTAATGCTTAATACAATATACAAAGTAATATATAGTATCGTAATTGTATAGTGAATATACAGCAGTGTGATATACATTAGGGTGGGTAGAATAATACAGTGTAATATTACTATGTATAAGGTATAGGGTGGTGTATAGCAATACAGTATATAATTTAATGTTGGGTTTGTCTATGGCAGTATATAGTACGGTGTAGACTCGTGTGATCTAAGAGAATAAAGTTTAGATGTGTAATGCGGGCGTAAACGACCTTCCGGATGTGATGTCACGGGGGGGAGGAGTTATGTCACGTGGGGGTAAGGGTTCAGGTCTTAAAGGGGAGAAACCGGAAGAGGAGGGGGAGTGATTGGAAACTGGGCTAGAGTGAGGCCACGCAGGGCGAGGGCTGGGGGAGTGGCGAGATCGCCACACACGCAGAGTTTGGTCGGCACCGTCGGCCAGCGGTGACCGACCCCGGAGGAACGGGGAGCAGCGGTGAGGCTGCAGTGAGAGCAGCCGGGGAGGCTGCACGAAGGGATCAGCAGCGGGGCTGCCTCGGAGGAGAGAGACAGCAGCGGTGAGGCTGCAGCGAGGGCAGCCGGAGAGGCTGCACGAAGAGGTCAGCAGCGGGGCTGCTGGAAAACGGAGGAAGGCTACAGCAGCGACAACAGCGTCGGCCACGGAGCGGAGGGTCTCTGAGAGAGAGCCGTGTGGGAAAGAGAAGACGAACCCGAATAAAGTACACCAAGCCAGATACCGTGGTCGAGTCCTTTATTACAGATGGAAGCATATTATATTTTTTGCGACATAGAATTGTAATGTATTACTTACCGTTAGTAACTCAGCTTATTGTAGAGTATATTTAGTATACTGATACTATGTAGTTTATACTTTAGTTGTTTACGTGGTGGTTTAGTTACTGCAGCTACATACTATTAACACTCCTTCCCTTTATTAATGCTACCCCTATCCCCTCCCTTTGATGCTGCTAATCCTGCATAATGCACGGGCATAATGACTTTAAACCCCTCGCCAAACCTCCTACGCATTTCACAAGTAGTACTAATCGCATATCTGCATTTCCCATAAATATGCTAAATTCCTCTTGATATGTAAATTCGTTTGTCAAGGCACTCTTTGCCCCTCCATCCCAGCTTAAATAGTCGCTCCAAGCCTGGGGCTTGTCATTCAGACTCTGTCTCCTCGACAGACCTGTTCTCCACCTGAGGATGGCTACTTGCGTTGTGGCCGAAACGTCGTGAGAATGATTTTATTGTTTTATTTTTATTATTTTATTATTTCAATTCTACGTGACTTTACCGAAAGAACCAAGAAGAAGTTGTTATCTTGTTATGGGGCAGTTACCCCTTGTGTTGGTATTAATAAATGTGTTGCCTCCAAAGAGTACGTCTGCGACTCAGTTGAACTCACTACATATTTAGCCGACCTATCCCCCCTCATTAAGGATTCATGACGGGAGGAAGAGGGGCAGGGAGTACCGGCGACACCGGATTTAAAAGTTGAATCGCATTTTAAAAATGTAATAACCATATAAAATTAGGGAAAGCCTGGTGTTCATGCGCGTGGGCTCACCCAATCCCATACGATGGATAAGAGAAGCGTACGGCTTTAGAATGACGACTGCACCCACGCATGACATCTCCCAAGACATGCAACTTAGTCGTGCGCATGCAATGTGCTCCAGTCGAGGTTGTTTTTTTTCAAATGTGTTTACTTATTTATTTCGGTAGCATTTTGAGCTCACGCCACAATCTGGGTTATTCGGGTCAGGCTCCGAGGTTTTTTTTTTGTGAATGCGTGTATCCGCCAATGTGTATTGTGTGCGTGCGCACGCGTATGGTGTGTGTGCACACGTGCATTGTAGGGAGCTGTAGTGTCACTGTAAGCGCACTGCGCTATGAACCCGGCGACCCGTGATCGATTCCTGCTCACGGCCAACACCAGTGACAATTATTTGAACCGGTCCTGGGCCTCCCCTAAGTCAACTCAGCCTCAAATGAGTACCTGGTGCAGTGTGTAAACATCGCCACTGGGGAGACGAAGGCGGTCGGGCGTGGTGCTGGCCACCCACCCCCTCGTGTGCCGTGCCGGCCTTCATAGGTGCTCGCTAACAGCACTTGCCCCTACAGTCTAAGGCTATACTCTTTGTAATTTTTTTTGTGTACGTTTTCATTTGCATTGTGTACATGTGCATGTGTATTGTGTACGTTTGCATGTGCATTGTGTGCATATTCTTTGTACACGCGTGCACGTGTCCACGAGTGCACGTTCCCGTGTGATGTGGTACGACAGGGTGCTGATGGCTTTGGAGGAGGGTCCGGACGGAGCGTGGCACAAGCGTGACCTGTGCATGGGCACTGGTCAGACTTGCGCCTTCCCAGGACTCATCAACAACTACCACAGCGCCATCATCTCTTTTGGAGAGGACGAGTCTGGTGAAGGCTACGACACGCACGCGCCACGGCGGTCACACGGCCCAGACGTAGCCTGTTGCCCGTTCATTTGCAGAGGCTCGCGGTTCGATATTCAGCGGGCCGCCCCGATTAACACTGCGGGGATAGAAGTACTCCGCACTGTCCGCTTCGCAGCCGACGTTAAAGAGCCGGCCACTGTGGCCTGGCTCTATGGTCACAAATTGCCAGATATTAAAACTTTACACCGGAAATTGCCCATTTGGAATCACACAATTAAGTAATCAACACCAACCGTATTGGGGAAAACTGAGCAGGGCCTTTATGAAAAAGAGTCATGTGACCCTGCGAGGCTTTCCAAGGTAAATGAAGCGTCGTAAAATAAAATAAGACTCACGTGCCATCGGGTCCACCGAGGGGCCCGTGCACTATGGAGTGCACCCAGGCAATCGAACAACAGTCCCATGTGACCCTCAAACGCACACAGGCCACAGAGCCACGTGGCGTGAGAGCCAACAAAGTCACGCAAGCTAACAATAATCTAGTACATTTCATATTTGCACCATTCCTATAGTGCAAGTCTATAATGCAGGTGCTGTGTTTCACAGACAGTCTGCCAGTCAGGAATGATGATTGTTGCCTGTCATCCCAATTGAGTAATTTCCAGGGGATCTTATCAAATTCTGGCCATGACACTGGTATGCATGTATGTTGAACTTCTTTCACACCGTATGTAAGCCAACCGTGCTAATCGGAGATGTGTGGGGGAAGGACAACAAACTACACACAGAAAAAGCAGTTGTAAGAAAATGAGTTTTTGCTCTAGATTTAAGAGTGCATAGCTCCCAGTGGCTTCCTATTATTGGTACGCAATGGCCAACTCATTGTCGCATGATGTCGGGGGATCTTTAACATCCACTGTGAAGTAAACGCACCCCGACCAGGGCCGGCTTGCCACATTTTAACTCAGAACCTCTGTGCTGAAGCCGCCCCATACGTCACCACGCCACACGCACGACATGACCCTCTTGAGGTGTTTTTGTAGTCACCGTTTGCTTGGCACAAGCCTAAGGGGCGAGCAAAGCACATACGGATGTGTGAGGTGGGGGTAGTACACCGAGTTTGTGGTGGAAAACTATAAACTACTTTTACTTTATCAGGGAAGGCCCACTGAGCTACATAGCTCTTTTTCAGATAGCCCAACGAAGTGGCTTATCATGTGGACATGTATAGCAGCAGCCAAACACTCTAAACGCGTGATGTTGCTTCGTAACGTGGAGGGAAAAACCGGAGGACCCAGAGAAAAATCCACACCACAGGGAGAGAGCCACCGCAAACTCCAAATATACAACAGGCATTGGGTCGGGATCGAACCCACGACCTCATGTATGCCATGCGAGGTAGTTAACATCTCGCCAACGCGATGGCATTTAATGTGCAGGGGAACATAGGCACTGCAATCTTAGATTGATTCTTGGCTATATACATCCAGGAACAAAAACTTGCATTTGAAGCAGCTCGGGCTTCTTGTAATTCATGGTAGCCTCGAAGTGATTTGTTGTCATCAGCACTGGGGAATGCCACCGCTCCTTTGTATATATGTATCTCTGTTGAACTTCTTTCACACCGTACGTAGCCAACCGTGCTGATGGCCTGGAGAGGTGCTTGCTAATATCACTTCCCCCCTACAAAGTGTGAAATGGAGAATCCTTGCCTGCTGCGTGTGCATCTCTCAAAAGGCGAGCTCTACTTCATGTCCACCCCTCTCGCCATTTCCACGGAGCCACACGGAACGTTGTACAAGCTCGTGGATCCCTCACGGTACTTGGTGAAACACGCAGGGGGCTGGACAGCATGTATGGGGAAAACCGTGACGGCTTATGAGTAGCACAGCATGTCACGCAGCGAACAAAACATGGGCACGTTTAATTTGCTCAACTTCTGGTTGAGAGCCCCATAAAAAACAATATATTATACTCTTGGTACATAATGAATGTAATAAATAAATACATTTGTAGAAATTTGATAGAAATGTTGCCAAATGACAACAAAAACCTCGACGTTTTAGATGGCGGACCTATGACCCCATCCTCATGAATCGTCACGGATATCTCATTGTGAACAATATCAGTTTTACTGAATATGCCGATAGGTGCCGTGATGGCGAGATGTTAACTACCTCACCTGATATGCAGGAAGTCGTGGGTTCGATCCCGACCCTGACGATGCCTGCTGTATATTTGGAGTTTGTGTGTCTCTCTCCCCATGGTCGCGTGGATTTTTATCCGGGTCCTCCGGTTTTCCCCTCCACATTTAAAATCAACGTGCGGTTCGAGTATTTGTCTGCTATAAAATTCCAGCTGATAAGCCACTTCGTTGAGCTATCATTTGTTATAGTCAGGTCACTTCTGAAAAAGAACGACATAGCTCAGTGGGCCTTACCTGGTAAAATAAAAATCTTTAGAAATTGTATGAAACCCACGCCTGGGCTGAGCCATTTGCATCTCCCGCACTTCTCCACACCCATATGAACGCCATCTCCCATTGCAGCCGTGCCGCTCCAGGGAGCTGCCACTGGGAACCGAGACCTGTGCATGTGCTGGGAAAGACCGTTGCCTTCATCCCCAGAGAGAGTAAGTCCTCGTCGCATCTTTGATGGGAAGGAAAGACACGGGGGATGCACATGGAACGCTCTTCCTTGCGATATTAGGAAGCCACTGGAGATATGCGATTTTAAATCTAGGTTGAAAACTAATTTCTTTAGAAACTGCTTGTTGTGTTTGTTGTCCTTCCCCCACACCTCCGATTAGCACGGTCGGCTACGTAAGGTGCGAAAGAAGTTCAACATTCATACACACGAATTGAACAAAATCTTTTTACGCGTGCTGCTTTGATTATTAACTGCTCCTCACTTGTCTAGGGTCAGTGACTCACTACCCAGGTGACTGCACACGTATCAGCAGGTACACCGATTACTTTAGGAAGCAACACATTCTACGGTTTCATTTCCATGTTGTGTAGAGATAAAGCCATAAATACTGCAACGACCTGTGCTGCAGTACAAACCATAATTAAATAGAAATAGGGCGACTTCACCAACGACTTTTAATGAAGTTGTTGAGGCTGCTGGCCCCCGGGTCCTCCGCTGGCGGGGGGCTGACCTCGGGGGGGCTGCTGCCTCTGGACTCCTCACTCGTGTGAGAGCCGCTGCTGCTCAACTCCTCGCTCGCGGGGGGAGGGCTGCTGCTCCCCGGCTCCTCTCCTCGCGCCGCGGTCCCTCGGGTCCGTGAGTCCTGTTTGTGGGGCATAGCTCGGGGCTGGCACTCGGCTGCCTAGAATCAATGCTTCTCAGCCACTCAAACGTGACGTCTCCGCTCACACAACCCCGCGCACCAATCACACGCGCGGAACGGGGGTCAGGGGTCAGAGAGCAATGACGTCCTTCGCACACGCGCTGCCGCCGAGGGTGGGCAATGGAGATTGTTGAAAGGGCTGTGGGGTGGGTATTCGGGGTTGGTTTCAGCGCGACACACCAATCGCACGCACGGAAGGGTCAGGGGTCAGAGGTCAGGGACGTCACGCGTACATGCGTAACTGATTGGGGGGTTGTATTGGAAATGATTTAAAGGGCTGTGGAGCGGATGTTTAGTGTTAGAACAAGTGTTGCTGTGTACTGGGGAATTAAAGAAATGCTTTAATCATCCTCCAGAGTAACTGGCGACAGGATTCACGCACCACGCTTGGGCACAATGTAAACAATAGCCGTATAAATAATCCCACGCGTACTCGCACGATTCTACCATCGCTCACCGCGGCCACACCACTCCCAGCACTCCTCAACACCACAGAGACCACATAGCGTCGGTATCCTATGCTTTAGAGTTTATTTCCGGCGCGTCTGCGAGTCCCTATTACCTGAATCAGCAGGGTAAGGCTAGCCTATCTCCCGACGGTCTAAACCCGACCTACCTTGTCTATTTGGAATTAATCTCCCTAAATCCCAACTCTCTCTTACGTACTCACGGTTTGGTTCGGATGTGCGGGAAGTCGCGGAGAGATGAGGCTGCTCGCTGCTCTCGCTGGTAGCGGGCCTGACTTGCCCTGCGACTCGTCACACGGATGATCTAGTGGCCGGCAAGCTGACTGATCCTGGCTTGTGCTGGACACAAACTAACTGATTCTACCTTCCCTCGCCTTTTATTGTTCTTTACATCAAAGAGAATTTGGCGCTGATCCGCTGGCCTTTCTGGCCAATCAGGTGGCTCGGATTGCCTGCCACTCTCACTGGACCGGTGCTTTCTCAGACGTCTGCACTTTACCTTCCACATCAAAGGGGCTGCCGCTGATCCTAGGGGGTCCCCAGCCAATTGGAGAGCTCCCCTGCCCGGTCGTACCATTCGGACCAGTGTTTTCTCAGACGTCCGTGTTTCGTGCGGTGTGTTTTCTAACCGCGGTGGCTGGGCAGCCCCGTCTTGACCATGTAATTACGACCCAAGTCACGGCGCCGCGGTGCGAGTTAGCCTCGGGGGAGATCGCACAATTCCCTGGCCGCAGGAAACCGTGAAGATTAGTCCCATGAGAGGGCTTCTGGGTGAAAATCTGTCGGCCAGGTGACCTCCCCTCGAGGCCCTATGTGGGGGTGTGTGTGTGTGTTCATGTGGGGGGTGATGAAGGAAGAGCAGCGTCGGCCCCGTAGCTCGGTGGTGGCGGCGTCGTGGCCACGGCGTCGGCAGAGCGGCCTCGCCGGTGTGGCATCACAAAGTTACACACGCAGCCACACGTGGAATAAGTCGAAACTGTGAACGATTAAACTTTCTTGACAACGTCGCAGCTCTGATCCTGGATGAGGTGCCCCTGACGGAGGCTCCCAGCACTATGCAGCCACCCAGGCAAGAGCAAAGGCCTGAGGTGACACAGAGGCGGCCCGCACCAGATCGGCAGCTGGACACGGCGGGACGCTCCCACACCTTCAACTACCACGAGTACGGGATCCTGCCAGGCACCCAGTCGACCCCACAGAAGAACATTCCGGACGCAACTCAGCATCCGACCGCGTCCAAGAGGAGAAAGGACTCCACCGCGAAGCAGGTGGGACCAGAGTTTCCGGGGCTGCACTCTTTGGGGTTAATGCTCAAATATTTGCAGTGAACACAAGCTTGTGAAGTTTCAGGCTGACCATCTCTTCCCAAGATGCATGTTGTACTATGTCGAACTTATTTCGCACCATACAGGCCACAGGGCCACGAGGGCACACGTGGAGTGAGATCCAGCTAAGGCACGCACAATAGCAATAATTTAGTACATTTCAGATTTGCGCCGTTCCTCCAGTGCAAATGGGCTCACCGTCTCACCCGAGTGGGGACCGCGAGCGGGACATCTGAACTTTGATATGGGGAGTGGAAGACAAGGAAGAACTTAAGTGAGGGGGTAAAGAAAAAGGGGAGGAGGGGCGTTTTCAATATAGATGATTTAAAAGTGCACAGCTTCAGTGGCTTCCTAACATCGGAAAGAAGAGCGTTACCGGACGGCCGCAGAAGCAGCGCATATGAAAGTGCCACGCGATGTGGTGACCGCCTTTGCTGGATGGCCAGACAAAAAGCCACCGCTGCTGCTGTGATGATGACCAGAGTTCGAGTGATTGTTTGTGCTCGTTGATGAGATCAGCATACACAATCACACAGAGATTCGGAAACCTCTGCAGCTTAGCCACAGCCGGTCACGAGCACGTTGCCTCATCCGTGGAAACTCCACCGCCCTCGCGGCAGCCACCACCTCACTCATAGTTGAGGGGTGTGTAATGACATGTAGGAACCGGCCAGGTGCTTTGTTTTTGTGGGGCTGATGGAAAGGCCTCTGAGTGGCCAGCTCCAGCTTCAGCAGCAGAGCCTCAAAACTCCTTCTTAGAATGAGCAGTTATCACCAAGTCAACAGCATATGTACACAATAGCGTGGGTTAACCAGGAGAGAGCCAACCCTTAATTACACTCAGGCATTGATCAGCATCTCGTCATATCTGTACCAGGCACACATTCCACTGGTCCAGCCATGGAATCCTTCCTGAATTACGTGGTAGAAAATTATGATGCTGTAGAAGCCAGAGGATATGCCTGTTGCACACCAATATATTTTTAAAAATGTTTTTTACTTTAATAAGCTTCATAATCTTAACCCTAACCCTATATTGAGATAAAATCCTACAGTCTTTGGTTCTTTTGGTACGTGACTTTACCGAAATAACCAAAAAGTATGGATTCATGCAGTCACGAAAGCTTCAAATCAAGATTAAAATCCCACAGGATATGCTATAGTCAATGGGGGTAGGGCACTAATGTGCCTTGTTTGATACATAAAGGCTGTTTTTATATTTCAATAAGACTCAAATATTAATTACAAACATGAATCTTATCACAGATTTATGATCAGCTATAATGAAAACAAAGTTATGAGGAAGAAATATCAATCCACGGTTTAACTTAATACAGTGATGATTGGGTGTGCAAAGGGCTTTGTAGTGGTGTTAATAAAATCAGTTGGTATAGGAGACCACACCGCTGCCTCAGCATGCATTTAAAAGCCAGAAGTGATTTTCCGCTCACATGCGCATCGAGGCATTGGCGTTCATCACCCGTTCACAGCCTCTGAGCTGTGAATGGGTGATGAGCAAATTCCACAATGCGACAAGGCGAATGATGTTACCACATTAAACTACCACCGGTCGACTTCCCCGCAAAAGCGTCGCCTCGCCTTTTCGGTCCCCGGACGTGATTGATGGGGGCCAAGTCACGCGCCAGGGCATTCTACTTCACCCCGACGCGGTTCCTTCCGTTGGGGGATGCAGGGCGGGAAGCGCCCGCGGCAGGGCGCCGTGCGGCTGGCGGGCGAGCGAGGTGGCCTGGCCCGGCACCGCGGCCGCGTCGAGGTGTTCGCGGGCGGTCGCTGGGGCACGGTGTGCGACGACCGCTGGGCCTTGCCAGCGGCGACCGTTGTGTGCCGTCAGCTGGGCTTCCCCGGCGCCCTGCGCGCCTCCAAGCGCGCCGAGTTCGGCGAGGGCGGCGCGCTGCCGCTGCTGCTGGACGACGTGAGCTGCGGCGGCGGCGAGCGCTCGCTCGTGGCGTGCCGGCACCGGGGCGTGGGAGTCCACGACTGCGAGCCGGGCGAGGAGGCGGGCGTGGTGTGCGCCACACACGAGGCCCAGCTCACCGCATGGGCCAACGGCGACGAGGACGACTGAAGCGCGAGGGGCGAGGAGCGGCGGGTGGTGCATGCGCACGCGCACGCAGGGAGATCGCTGCGTGGGGTTGATGGCGCCGTTGGGTGAATGTGGGTTGTTAGGCTCGCGTCGAGAATGGTTTCAGACTAAGGGATGTGCCGTTGGAAATGGTGTACAAGCACAGCCATACACATGACTGTCATACGCTGGGTTTGGGCGACTTTGTGAATTAGCTAAGTGTGCATGGATTTGACAATTGACTGCAAAATTCCGTGGATAATTCTTTGTAGGTTAAATGTGAACGCCTGGATATGGACGACAGAGCAGAAGATGACTGTTGATTAATGTGGGTGACTGAGGGAGGGTGAACATCGATGATTGAAAAGATGTCTTGTGACTCGTTACGAGGCTAGTTGTGGATAACTGATTGGATGAGTACGTCTAAAATGACGTGTAGATGGAGAAGGGTTGACCGAGGGATGACTGGGATGACCAATAGTTGGATAGCTGTGTGCAGGTGAAAAATTGCGACAATTTCAGGCCATGGAGCCACATTGGCCTAATGCTCAATAGAATGATCAATAGAATAGAATTGCATTTCAAATTTAAGAGATCGCTTTTTAGATTATCCAAATGTGGATTCATAAAAATATAAGAAAAAAAAGAAGTCCGGTGCCTGGTGGTCCAGGGGTCAAATCACTGAGCCGGCACTGCTGAGATTTTTGTGTTTAAATCTGGGCAGCCACTCTTGATTAATGCAGTTTCTGTGAAGTGTAGCGGGTCGATAGTGTGTCGATAGTGTCGGCCTGTCAATTGGCGATCACCTCAAGTGGGTTGAACTGTTCTGTCGGAGTTCCCAATGGATACTTCACGACACGATACAAATGGCACAATTGGGATGAAAGTGGGAAGAAAAAACAATCAGATGTAAAATTGCAATGTCACTTTATTCAGCTCTCATAATTAAATAATTGTGTTCATTGCAATGCAGAGCAATTATAATTTAGCTTTTTGTAGGGGATGCATGTCTTTAAACCGGTGATTCGCAACGTTCGTTTCGGTGAATTGCAAATATGAAAATCATGAATTTCTTGATTTTGAGCATTTGGGTCTGTTGTGATTATGTGTGTGAAACACCTGCAGGGAAATGTCTATATGGAATCGAAGACAGTATAAGTATATTTCGGGCAGGCAACCTATGCTACCGCCAGGGCCGTCCATAGGGGCGGGTGCAGGGCCTGAGGTAGATCACACCATGTGGGCCCCCCGACGCCTTCAATTTAACGCAGAAGTATTACATCTGACACCGTGACATCGAAGCACGGGGGGGGGGCCCAAAGTGCGGGGCCCGAGGCAGTCGTCCTAATTCACTGTGCACCCTACAAACGGCTCTGGCTACCAGTGGTTGTGTTGGGGCCGCTGGTCCCCGGAGTCCCTCCCTGCTCCGTGCCTATGGCAGGGGCTCCGCCGTGCGCCGACCCCTCGCTGCTCTGCGAGCAGCTGCTGCCGTCGCTGGGCTCATCGCCCGACGGCTCCCCTCCCTGGTCCGTCCCTCCGCGAGCTCGTGTGAGAGGCATAGCTCGCCGCACGCCCTCGTTCACCTGCAGACGCTGCGTTGTCTCTCCACGGATCACGCGCTATTAAAACGGGGGTCGGGGGCGAACGGCGCTGCCCTCACACTGCTCGAGTCCCGGCGGCGACAGACGGATCGGGGACCTGCGGACGCACCGACCCCTTCACCCACACTACGAGCGCACACACCTGCACACACGCGACACCCACTCGTGCGCCGCTCTACGCAGAGCTCACTCACGTGGTGAACCACAGTGTACACACGCGCACCCACACGCTCACACTGCACGACAATATCACGCGAGACCATGCTTCGCTATTAATGATTTATTATCTGATACCTGGTAATTTAATGTTAAATCAGTGAGTCGACGAGGCTGGCCTACGCTGATACCTTTATACCTATTCCCGATTTATCTGCTATGATTCTAATTCACCTACTTACTTCCTGCTGGATGCCCACGGCGGTTCGTTGATCCCGTGCTCGCAGCGCACCTCGATGCGTCTCACGGACGATCGGGTCGCTGGACTGGAGAGCGTCCTGTCGCCTGGCGCTGGAGAGAAGAGAGCTATTTTCCCTCTGCGCCCCTCTATTTATCCTCCCTACCTCAAAGGGGATGCTGCGCTAAACAATGGGCTCGCGATCCTCTGGCACGCGCACGGCGGTTCTGGGCGCTGTTGATATGCTAATCAGTGTGCTGCGTGCAAGGCGTAAATCCTACTTAATCCCTTACCCTCCCTAACAATGGGGCCTGCGCGCTCAAGCGCAATTATCCCAACCCTCCATGACTATGCGCAACAGCCCCTGTGACCCCCCTATTCATGCTGTCCCGTGCCTCCCCTGCTCGCCCCGTCGACCCGTGGGAGTGTGTGTGGGGGGAGATGCGCTTCAACCGCGGTGGCCGAATGCCCCACGCCGCGACCACACCATATTAAGGCCGGCCGCAGCGCCGCGGTGCCACGTAGCACGGGGGAGGTCATCCAATCCCCTGATCGCCGGAAACCGTGAGAATTAATCCCGATAAGGGTTTCTCGGATAAAAACCGGTCGGCCAGGCGACCTCCCCTCGGAGCTCTATGGGGGGGGGGGGGAAATGAGTGCGGGTGTGTTCATGTGAGGTGAGGTGAGGGGGACGCGGGGTCGGCTCCGTTGCTTGGTGGTGGCGAGGTCGGGGATTTGGTGCCTGCCGAACGGCTTCGTGGCGGCGGCATCACAGTTGCATTATCCTCTCACATGCGTGGGGTTTACACAGGCTTTCGAGACTAATCCCACACTCACACATTTTCAATCGTACTTTTAACGGTAACTATTTTATATTGTAAAATAAGTGGCTAAAGGAATAATGCCCATTTTATTACAGCATTTGAAAATGTCACATTATGTAAAAGTGGATTATTCTGCCCAATGGCGGAGGAGTCAGTTTTGTCTTATATCGTTCTTAAGGGGCAATCACGTCAATATTTGGGTAATTTCAGGGAGTTTGAGTTCATTTTGATGGAGCCTGCACCCAATCGTCCCTGACTCTGCATTTTGTGTTTAGTTTGTTGTCTTTCCCCCACACCTCCGATTAGCACGGTTGGCTACGTACGGTACAAAATAAGTTCAACATGCACACAAACGTAGTCTGCCTAGATGACTGGCCTGCTTGGGACACAGCAGAGCCTCAACCCATGTTGGGATCTCACATTCGCCAGAGCATGTGACCCATGTCCTCGCAGGTCGTGATCCACCCGGGCGTTGTGGGGGAGTGGAGGATTCCAGCGACCAGGGACCGCTTGGTTACTCGACTAATAGGCCACAACCCCAGCTCACAAATGGTTTAACGCATACATACCCACACCAGTGAATAATAATCATAAATTAAAGTATCAACAATAATTCATATTAATATGACAAATTGTGTTACCCGTGGCACACCACGACATGAGGAGTAGAGTCAAGGATATGATGTATGGAAAAAGTAAATTGAACGGGAATGGAAATAAAAGAAAGGAAGGGATGCCGGGACGGAAGTCCCCAAGACAGACAGAGAGGGTACGGCTCAAGAGCAGTGGGAAGAGGAGGAGGAGCGCCGGGCACGGAGGGGAGGAGAAGACATGACCGGGCCGAGATGTGGGGGATAAGAGGGCGACGATGAGAGGGGACGGAAGACAAGGAGAGAGAAGGAGCAGCAGGAGTGAGCTGTACAGAGCAGCGACTGTTTTCACAGTGGGCGGGGAGAGGGGGGAGATTAAGAGTTGAGGGTGGCCACACACAAGTCACATGATTTACTGGAGGCTTGAGCTGATTTATATGCATAGATTTGAATAAAGTCAATATTTCCGTCTGCTGGTAATCGAGTCCATTCCCTTGTCATATTACAACAGGATAAACAAGCTGTGTGTGGACTAAACTTGGTTTTCATGGGAATTCTTGAGTTTTGATAAGAAAACCGATCAACTGGAGCACCACGAATTAACCAGGTTTTTAAACATTTTTCTAATTAGATTATATATCTAATCTCATCTTACCACCTATATCTGTTCTCCTAGACCAGGGTCGGCAACCAAAATAACAAGAGGCATTTTTTTACCAATTCAGTACAATACTCAACACTTCAAGATCCACAATGAATGTGAATACACACACACATACACAACAACCGCCATTCGCCACTAAGTGGCGTTAACGTCACCACGACGCTTGTGCCAGGCTATGTGCACCTTAAGGCCACGTGAGGTGTCGAACGCCTGCTGGCAGGAGGTCACGGGGCAGACCCAGGTGCCACGAGTCGACTGACAGAGATGACCGAGATGACTGGCTGATGCACCACCTGTGCCCCCTACTGTGCCAACTTGCTGTGCTTTAGCTACCCGGAGCTCCGCTCGTTGTTGTGAGCGTCGCTCCTCCACCCTCCGTTGTTGGAGGGCGACTGCCTCCAACTGCCCAGCAGCGTCCTTCACGAGTCTCCTCCACAGAGGCTTATCTTGACACCGCTGATACCAGTCATCGGCAAGTCCACTCAGCTCCACATCCTCCTGTACTACGTCACTCCATCTCTTATCTAGCCCATGCCGTGCCCATTTAGCCCCCTCTATCCAGCCGAACAAAAGCTGTTTAGGCATTCAGAGATTGGGCATGCTGACTACATGACCCAGCCAACGCAGCCTTGCCTGCCGGAGGACCTCACCTTATGGGACTTTGCCCATATCTTTCAAGGATTTGTGAGCTCCTCACACAATCCAGCCTGGCTAAACCCAGGATGGATCATAGGCAGGCCAGCCTAAATCTTTACAATCTGCGAAGATGCTCCATTAGAGGGGGCCACGTTTCGCAAGCGTAGAGAAGGGATGGAATGACCGTGGCCGAGAAGACTTGAATCTTTGTGCGGTGCGACAGACCAGGTAGCTTCCGCACAGCGTTACGCAACTGATGAAAAGAAAATGCCACTCGACTGATTCTGAGTGAGACCTCTGCTGTCAAACCAGAGCCGGTCATGAGCACACTGCCCAGGTATGGGAAACTCTCCACTCTCTCCACAACTGCCCCATCACCGATTGGGAGTTGTGGGGGTGGGCTGCCCGATGGTACAAAATACCCAGGCAGGTGCTTAGTTTTGGTGGAGCTGATGGTAAGGCCCCACCTCTTAGTGGCACACTCCAGTTTCAGCAACAGCGCCTCCAACTCCTCCTCTGAGTGAGCGGCAATTACCAGATCATCGGCATACATAACATGGTTGACCAATAGGGAGCCATCCCTTGACCGCACCCGGGCATTGATCAGCCTCCCATTGTATCTATACCAGATGGAAATTCCTCTCGTACAGCCATCAAAGGCTTCACGGACTACGTGGTCGAAAAAGATGTTAAATAATGTGGGAGCCAGAGGACATCCATGTCGCACCCCAAGGTGAATAGGGAATGACTCTGACTCCCGGCAAAGTAGTTTTACCCGGGCCCGATCACCATCATGAAGGTCTTTAATGATCGTGAGCAGAGGGTCAGGGACTCCAAAAGCATGAAGAACAACCCAGAGCCCAGGCCTACTGATGGTATCATATGCCTTTACCAGGTCAATAAAGCAGAGATGTAGGTCTTGTTGGAATTCCCTACACCTCTGCTATAGCAAACGGACAGAAAATATGGCATCTGTACAGGACTGCCCTTTCCTGAAACCACATTGAGGCTCCGCAAGCCTCTCCTCAGCGTGTCTGGCAAGGCGATGTTGAATAATCATTGCGAGGACCTTTCCCGGCACACTGAGGAGTGAGATGCCCCTGTATTTGTAACAGTCTGTGCTGTCCCCCTTCTTAAAGAGGGGGACCACAAGGGCATCCTTCCAATCCTGCGGAACCCGCCCAATGGTCCAGACTGTTGTTATGATGTCATGTAGGGCAGTCTGTGCATAAACGCCACCCTCCCTCAGCATTTCGCTTGGGAGATCATCTCTGACTGGTGCCTTTCCTGGTCTCAGACTCTGGATCGCCTTTAGTACTTCCTCAACAGATGGCACCTCAGCCAGCCACTCACTGGGGGTGACTTCTTCAAATA